GTAGAATGCACATCATTAGACTTACAGGCCAACTTTTTATAGTCTGGTTCTAATTGTCTATGTATTGATAAGTGTCCAGTCTGGATCAGACTTGCATTAGGTGCCTTGTGATGTAGTGGCCCAGATTTAATACGTAGTGAAAGAGTATGAGTAATGGGTATTTTAACCTATTTGAGACGGATCATAGGTGAAAGGCCATGTCATCCCATTTGACTCTCATTCAAAATTTTATTGAACTACTATTTTATGAATTTATGTCAATAAGTTTGGTATCAAACTGTAGATTATAATTCAAGTTTTAGTACTACTCAGTTTGTTAATTCAAGAGTTAAAGGAAGAAAACTCGTATAAACTCAGATTTTTGGTATGTTGAATGCTGCACTGGTTCATCAAGTTTTAGTACTACTCAGTTTGTTAATTCAAGAGTTAAAGGAAAACTCATATAAACTCAGATTTTTGGTATGTTGAATGCTGCACTGGTTCATCAAGTTTTAGTACTACTCAGTTTGTTAATTCAAGAGTTAAAGGAAAGCTCGTATAAACTCAGATTTTTGGCATGTTGAATGCTGCACTGGTTCATCAAGTTTTAGTACTACTCAGTTTGTTAATTCAAGAGTTAAAGGAAAACTCATATAAACTCAGATTTTTGGTATGTTGAAGGGCAAAGCTGCTTTTGGCCCTTATCTGATTCACCAATAAGAAAGACAGTTTTTTATTTGTGGGTGTAACATTGTCTTCCAGGAAGAAAGCTGTAATTTGTCACTTGTTAAACCCACATTATGTATGGTCTCAAAACTGGGTAAGTTAATGTTACTTGAATGTCCCTGCATCCAAACTGGAAACCACCTTAACTAAGGACTTGGTAAACACATAGCACCAGTCAGAATTTCAGTAGCTAGCTTCAACAAGGGGTGTTTTGTTCTGATGGTGGGTGCTGAAATAATGTTAGAAACATGTATAGTTGTGAAAAAAAAACAAGGTTAATCATTACCTTCCACCTTGTCCCTGGTAATATTTATATTCTTTAGTATAAATCCATCATAAAATTAAACTAAAACCACTAATTAATGGTTTTAAAACATAGGTAACGAGTAACACATTACAAATCTAGCACAGAACAGTAACCTTTATAATGTGCCTAAAATGATGTCAAAAGGGGGACATCCTACCTAAAATATTCAAAATGTATAGGAAGCAATAAAACCAATTGGATTATTTATCAGGTATTTTATATATTTCAAAACATTCTGTAACAATAACTACTATAGAGATAAGAATCCTAAAATTACTCAGCTCTTGGAGCTACTCTAGCTAACCTTCTAATTACTCAAGATTTTTATTGCTTCTACAAGTTTTCCGGAGGAGAAACGTGACGGCATGAATGACGATAGTGCCCTAAGTGATGAAGAAAAGAAAGAGTTAGACATTACTGTAGACAGTGTTAAAGATCATCTAGCGTAAGTATTAATGGTTATAAATGTTTAGGTATGGAAGAAAAGTCTGTTTCAGCCATCTGCGTTAAAAACAATATGTGGGCTAGATGTCCGTATTATTCGGAGAAGTAACTACTTACTGAAGTTTTACAATATCTACTTTAGAAATGACATATTTTCATTAGACATGCTAAATAAAAGAAAATATTGAACTTACTGATGTGGTATTGAAATTGATAGGTTTGTACTCTCTAGGTAGTGTGAAGTTGTTGGTGTAGTTACATGATAGAGGTGTTTCATCATAGCTAAGTTAAAACGTCCTTGTCCTGCTGTATGCGGGCTTCTGATAGTGGTCTTGTATTGTTTTCTCATGGTTATTGATTTTTGCAGCATGAAATAAACTTCTGTGTTTTTTCTACGGCAGGAATTTGTCTGTGGAAGATAACTCCTTTGTATCAGTTGAACTTACTCACTGTTCAAAAACTATAAAGACCCAAGAGACCAATACAACAATTGCCAGCGAGGTAATTAACCGTGCTACAGTCCAAGGTAATAGTCGTTTTTATTGTATAGTTCATTCAATTGCTTTTCTTAACATTTGGTTAAAGTAGAGTTTCTTTTCTTTTTTTCCATATGTATTCAGGTTTGTATTCCTTACTAAGAAGTTATAACTAGTTAGTTCAGTTTTTTCTTTTGAAGTCTTTTCTACACTATTATGCTGATGTATTAAATCAATGCTGTGGTTAATATGGAGATGGCAACAAACAGTTGTAATCTCTTAATCATTAACTATAGTAATTAAAACATTCACTCCTTGTTTTTATTAGTTAAGCTTGTAGTGCATCAAAGGATAACGATACACTAATTTCAGCTAGTAACTAATGTTTATGCTTTTCAAATAAAACCTGAGAAGTTGTATTTGTAGTGTTATGATAGCAGTAACTAATAACAAATATTGATATCTGAAACTGGTCAATTCCAGCTGTTATTATATGGTGTACTTAATCTACAAACTTGTTGATGTTTAGTTTTAACAAAACTCAGTAATTGAGGAATAAAGTTGTCATTCCTGTTAACTTTCCATCTAAGAAACTGTATGTTTTCCTTATGCTTCAGCACTTTGAAAATATAAAAGCAAATAACTAAATCTGGATGAACAGCTACAGCAGGTTTTACGTAAACTAGCAAGTTGTTCTACAGCTGCAATAGTTAGGTCCTCTTGTTGAGAGAATGGAATACTTGTGTTGATTTATAGGTTACTTATTGATCACTGTTTCAATTTATACCTTCCCTAAACCTTCTCCATTAATGTTATACCATCATCTACATCTCACTCCCTATGCTTCTGGAGTAATAAAAGGTTTCAGTTTTGCTTGTGTTGTCTCTCCCATATACTAATAACTGAAACGCGTTTGATTTGTATAATCGGCTATGATAGCTTCTGCTCGAACACAAGATGTCTCAAGTGACGTCTTCTTGAAGTAGCCGTGCCTCGAGTCATGGTGTTCACATAGTCATTCAGATGTTGCTTAGGTTATATTTGAACAATATTTAAACTGTACCTTTATGGTGGGTACATTTTTTCAATACAGTTTCTAAGTGTAGGGAGTTATCATACAGTTTAACTTTTAATAGTTGCTGATTCAGAAAGTAGCTTCTTTTTATGTGAAAACAACTGAACAGTGTGTGTGTGTGTGTGTGTTTATGACCACATTAACCATTAGTGTTAATGAATGGAAAGTAACTTTTAAGTACAATTGTTAATTTGCTTTATGCATTATTTCTGATTCCCTATAAAGCTGTGAAGCTCAGATGAAACAGAGAACAGTAGTACATTAATGTGAAAAAGTTAACAGCATGTTAGTCTTGTTATAAAGCTAAGATTGCGAGTCCGTGTTTTGTTGCACATGTAAGACTTTGGCATCAAGAATGGTTAACGACAGAACTTTGGACTGTCATGAGTACTTGTCTATATGTGTAAAGGTATTGGCATCAAGAACGGTTAACGATAGAACTTTGGACTGTCAAGAGTACCTGTCTATATGTGTCAAGTATTGGCATCAAGAACGGTTAACGATAGAACTTTGGACTGTCATGAGTACCTGTCTATATGTGTAAAGTATTGGCATCAAGAATGGTTAATGATAGAACTTTGGTGTTCAACCTTTTCTTGTATAGGTTGTTAAACTGTGGATTTTTCAAGTTAATATTAATTTAGATGTTTTTGTCATGTATAAAGTTTAATGTTAATTTTATAAGTAAAGCACATTCTTCAAAATAATTTTTTCATCTTTGAATAAATGTTAGTTATAAATTTAAAATGTAGAAATTGTTAATGTTGGATAAATTGTACACATAACAAAACCCTTTGGATCTTTTCTGTGGTTGTAAATATACTGGTTTTGTACACAAATATGAAAAGATGAGACCAGCTATAATCTGGTTTGTTTTTTATACCTTGAAGATGTTATTTTACTGTTTTAAGAATTTTTTTTTTGTAGTGAATGTACTTTCTTAGAATCCTCACAGACAATTAAGTTTTATAAAGACCTGATAGTAGCTGCCTTTTTAATGTCTCATTTCTTTGATTAATAATAGGCTTATTCAGCATCATATAGCTATAACTTGTTTGTTTTGTGTTAATCTAATGTTATAAACCTTATCTTTAAATGTTTGTTATTAGATACACATTAAGCACATTGACTGTTTGTGTTCTTCCTTACTCTTCAGTGTCATAGTATTTAGAACTATGGACAATATTTTTCTAACTTTATTGTCACAGTGTTAGTCCTAAGTTTGTTTATTTTTTTTTATTTTCAGCTGAGTAACTGGACATGTACTGATGAAGGGAGTTTAGTACAAGTGTTCCTTTTTCTGTGCACTGACTTTTGGTATTTGACTTTTTGTTACTTTTCTACTTTTGCTCTTTGGAGGGGGTCATCCACTGTGTGATCACTGTTGGTTTAATGCTGAATTGTGGAGAAACAGAAGCAGAAATTCTCTTTCAGTTTCTTCTTCAAAAAGTAGAATTTATCATTGCCTACATATTCATTCCATGAATTTATTTTAGAACTTTTTTTTACACTAATGATTTTGTATTTTGTGATTTCTAAGCAGCTGTTAGAACTAAAAACTGAGCAGCTGTATTTGTTATTAACTTTTAAGTTTTCATGAATAATGTTTGCCATAATTTTATTACATATTATTTACAAGCTGGTTTGTTTCAGAGCTATATACTATGAAAAAAATATTAATGATTGATCAGAATTTTTAACTCTTCATGTTCAATTCTAGCTGCATGATTTATTTGTTGGTGTCACTTGGAATAAACACTTTATACTATATGCCTGGGCTGTTTCTGTAAAATATCATTTGTTAGTTCTAATTATTAACCATTTTGTCTCTTGTCTACTTGGATGTTTAGCCGAGCTTCGTCACTTGTAACATTAGGCTCCAACTTATACTATATGCCTGGGCTGTTTCTGTAAAATATCATTTGTTAGTTCTAATTATTAACCATTTTGTCTCTTGTCTACTTGGATGTTTAGCCGAGCTTCGTCACTTGTAACATTAGGCTCCAACTTATGGACGGCTTTTTTAAAAGCTTCATAAACCAGGTCAAGTTTCCATGTCAACAGTACTTTCTGGTACTGTTAAGAGCAGCAGAAGGAGTGTTGTCATGTAAGTCCAGGTGGAGTGAGGTGAGGTGTTCTGGGATCTTGTAACGCCTGTGGAGTAATATCATATCTGTTCGTTTGTATTGGGAAAACATCAGCCAGTAATCTCGGGCTGGTTTCTCCAAATGTGCTATGATAATTAACAGACATAGCAGGGAAAAAGGCTGTCCTTTTTGTGGTTGAATAATCTAAAAATACAGAAGTAAATATTGTACCATAGAGTGTGATGTTAATTATGAAAACAAATGTTGGTGGATTTTAAGTATTCCCCAGTTTTACATGAAACAGCTTCATTCTACTCTTTCCTATCATTATAAAAACTATACTATTCACTATATTTGTTATTCTGGGCTTGCACTTTTTTGTGTATGCAATTCAAAATGATTAAGAAGTGTGATCTTTTTGATTAATTCATCATAAAAACAAACTTTCTGTTTAATAATGGCTGGAGATGGCTTGAATGGGTAATGAAGAAAAACTTTAATACAAAAGTTTTTCTTCATTACCCATTCAAGCCGTCTCCAGCCATTATTAGTCTCAAAGTGGGTTCCTCGTCATCGAATTTGAATTCATCACGGCGATTAATCGAGGTTG